CCCACAGGTTCTTAAAGTGATTGTCCTTAGATTGAGAAGAAAAATTGGTAAATTTAAGCAACCCAAAACTTGCAAATAAAGACTGCTATCTATAATTAAAGTAGGTTTTGGAATGGTCCTCCAAGTGGACATGGCAAATGAATTTGGATTAATTTAATGATTATTATTAGACGGGAATGGAATTAGAAAAAAACTTACAGGTCTAACACGCAATTCAGACTCGTCATGCGCAAATCGACAATTATCCCCATAAGCACAAAATCCCGTTATGCGAAGTTTTCGACATATTTCGGTTCGAAAAGTAGTCTCATTTCGAATTACCCGATTCTCCAAAGAACGTTGAAAGTCAGAAAGACTGAGATTCTTAGAAAATTTTTTGAATTTTTATTAAATTTTGTCTAAAAGTTAATAAATAAACTCAAACCAAATTTGGTTTATTCTCATTAAAAAAGTTGCTCATTTTATAATTATTATTCTCCATTTCCAATTGTAGTGTGTATTTACAATAATATTTACAAATGAGAGGAAGACAGAAGGAAACTGTAAATAATTATTAAATAATTAATTGTTGGGTATTGGATAAACAAAGGGTAACAAGGTTTCGAGTAACCCCGAAGACCCTGATAAATGCAATTATTGTATAGGACATTTATCTAAGGGCACATCTAAGAAATCTCCAAAAGCTTAATAAATGCCTATATTATTTATTTCTATATAGAGATGCCTATAAATTATTAAAATAAAAATTCTGTCTAGTAAGTATTTTGCCTAAATTTACTTTTTTGATTTTATGGAGAAAAATATAAAATGATGAATATTATTGAATTTATTAGTAATTTATCTCCTTAAAAGAATAAAAGAAATTTTTTATGAAATGTAGACAAAAATAAAAAAAGGAAAACAAAAAATGAAAGGAAATGATTACTTGATTGACAGATATAAATGCCCTACAAAAATTAAATCAAAAAAACTTTCTATTCAACATTTGACCTCTTAAAATGTCTGTCCACTCCCACTCCCCTCTCTTTAATTAATAAGAATTTGTATTTACATACATATTTACGCAATAAATATTAAATAAAAATACAGTCGTGGAAAAAAGTATGGAAGCGCTAGAAAATTTCTTTTTATTTTTTAATTTTTTATTCAAAAAATATGTTCTATATACCAATCGAAAGCTCTATTCGTATCTCAGTTGACGTGTTTCTGCATTTTTTATGAAAATGAAAATTGGCCGAGATAATCCGGATCTACCGGATATACCAAATCCCATTTTTTCGGAAAAATTTTTCGGAAGAAATTTAACAAACCCAAATGATAAAGCATATTTTTCTGAGTATTTACCACAAAACCGCTTAGAAATATCTTTTTCCGGAGCAGAGATATGATTTTTTGAAGATGGCATTTTTCGCTTAAAAATTGAATTTTTTGCAAAAATAGACGAAAAATGCAATTTTTAAAAAATCATATCTCTGCTCCGGAAAAAGATATTTCTAAGCGGTTTTGTGGAAAATACTCAGAAAAATATGCTTTATCATTATGGTTTGTTAAATTTGTTCCGAAAAATTTTTCCGAAAAAATGGGATTTGGTATATCCGGTAGATCCGGATTATCTCGGCAAATTTTCATTTTCATAAAAAATGCAGAAACACGTCAACTGAGATACGAATAGAGCTTTCGATTGGTATATAGAACATATTTTTTGAATAAAAAATTAAAAAATAAAAAGCAATTTTAAAGCGCTTCCATACTTTTTTCCACGACTGTAAACTAAAATAATTTTTACATTTTTATGCAAAAAATAAATATATTTTTAATTAAAATAATTTAAAGAATAATAAAAACAATTTTCAACATTTTTGTAAAAAATTTAATAGCAAAACAAAAGAAAAATTAAAAGCAAAAGAATTTTAATAATTAAAAAAAGATAATACAACCAAAAAGTTTTTTAAACAAAAATATTTTTAATAAAAATAATTTTTTAAATTAAAGATCAAAATTACACTAAAATATCCAAAAATCTCTAAATAATACTAGACAATTTATTAGGGAAATTGAAGGGTACAGCCCAATGTACCGCGAGCCCAATGTACCCCCAAGCTATAATTTTGTTCAAAATTATCAAATTCAGGATACCCTGGTTGGTTGATGCACCTCAACGAGCTGAATCAAAAAATATCAGGGCGTCCCTGATTCGGTAATTTTGAACAAAGTAATAGCTCGGCGGTTGGCCTGCTCCCGAAATCGAAATAATTGTAGGGAGGGAAGGAAGGGATAAATAATATCAAAAAATATATTTAAATGTATAAAGCCTCAATTCTATCATTTTCAAAGCTCGTCTTTACAAGCAATAGGTGCTGCTATAGAATCAATCGGGGAATGTCTTTTAGTAGAATTAATTGAAGATATAATTTTAATATTTGGCGGACGCATTAATTCGCTATCTTAAAAATAAATTGTTTGTTGGGTTTAACAGTAAATTATTTATTTAAAAACCTCTTAAAGAATCTCCAGAAGGGGATATAGAGGAAGAAGTTAATTCAGAAATTGGAGATGAACTTAAAATTGAATTATTGCTAGTAGGGGCTAATTTAGATAATGAACGGTCAGGATAAAATGTTGATGGAGGTGGAAGGGGAGGTGGAGAAGATGAAAAGGAATCTGTTGTTGCCGTTGCTAATTAAAAAATATATTTATTTTAAATTAAAAGCTAATTTATATTATATGATCGTTTATTAAGTGATCTAATCAGGTTAAAAATAACTGGCGCCAAATCGGCAGCGCATAGTTACATATCTACAACAGTCTCCCATGGAGTTTTTTATGCAAAATTCGGAGAACCTCCTTTTTTATATTAATTAATTAAAAAAAATATTTTTGGATTATTTTAAACTCTAAATTCGATTTAAAAGGTGCTCCTTGCTACTTCTACTTCTACTAATGCTACTTCTATACGTTTAATTTAATTAACAATTTCATAAAATTAATTTACCAAAATTCTGATGAGAATTTCCATTTTTTAATTGTTGTTGTGGACGTAAAGGAGTCATTCTAAGCGGTGAAGGGGGTGTATTAGCCCCTCCTTCTCTTCCATTAGAAAATATTTGTTTTTTTCTTGGTGAGGATTCTAATGGGCGAATTGAAATTAATGGTGAGGAAGTTTCCTCCTTTTTTTTGAAAAATTAATTTTTAATTATTTTTAATTATTTTTAAATAATTTTAAAATACATTTTTAATTCCATTAGTTTGGTTTTCGTTTAAATTTTGATGATTCTGAATTGTTGAATTAATTGAGGTATTTTTGGGTGGACGGGGAGGAGGAGCTTCTTCTAAATTAATTTTTTTAAAATTATTTTTATTTATTTACCTTTTTTATTAATTAAATTATCATTTAAATCTTTTTCTGATTTTTCATTTAAATTTAAAGGTTGCTTTTCTAAAATTAATGTTGAGGTTAATTTTCCATTTTGATTATTAAATTGTTGTTGTTGGCTATTTTGGGACTTGAAAACAATTAAAATTAAAATATAACAAATAATTCCTTACCAAATTTTGTTTAAATAAATGAAATAAATAAATAGATAGAGCTATTAACATTAAAATAATTAACAGAATCGTTATAATTAAAGAAATCCGAGAAAGTGAAGAACCTGAAAATTAAATTTAAATAAATAAAGTGAGAAGGGAATATAGTAAAGCAGCTGGGATTTGTCTCCTTTAGCTAGTGCAAAAGGTTATTCGGCGGCTGGGAACGAACCAGCATCTTTAGTTGACCGGACTAATGTGCTAACCATTACACCACGCCCCTAATGAACAGCCTTAGGAAATAAATAGTATATGCTTTACAATCGCAGGAAAAATAAAGGAAAAAAATTAAAATAAGCTTGGAAAAAATTATTTTAAAAATAATTCTTAAAATAAATTTTCTTAAAAGCTTATTTTTGGAACTAAAAAAAAAATAAAAGCAAAACAAAAGAAAAACTACAAACTTTTATTATAAACAAAAGAAAAGCCATCAATACTATTATTAATAATTTCAACCCCACCATTATTTAAATTGTCAAAAAGTTGTTTTGAAAGTTTTCCCCAACTCGAAGTATTCCCTAACCAAATATTTGGATCTCGAATGCCGCAAAAATTGTTTAAATTAAATTTTATTTTGTTGCCATAATTTATCTTTAAAAATTAAATTATTTTTAGGAAATTAAAAAATATTTGTGTTTAACCTCATAATTATCATTTAAAGATGAATATAAATCTTCATTGGAAGTTTGTGTTGAATAAATAAATATTAAATCTAAAGAAGGGAATAAATAAAGTTTGGGTACACCTCAACTGAGTCCCGGAACCTATAACTTATGAAGGTATGGTTATTTTCCTTTGTTCTTGGTACCATTGGATAGGGCATTAAATAGACGACAATATACAAAAAATCAGAATTCTTGACCGATTGGTAGAAAAGTTATGATTTTGAAGCAAAAACCCCCAAAAATTTCAGAATTACCATTCTTTATTAAATTCCCCTACTCTAAAATAAAAAAATATTTAAAAATCTACCTTCAATACACCCATTACTATCATCAATTAAATCCCCATTCCCTTCTTTACTTTGGAAAACTTCAATTTCAAATGTTTCAATTGAATTAGGGGATAAAACAAAAATAGGTATTTCTTCTAATTGTAAATATTTAATTTGGTTATCAAAACGGATTAACTAAAAAAATAAAAATATTCTTTTTTAAATTTCCATAAATTAATTGTCAACCAATAAATTTCCATCATTATTTGCCCCAAAATTATTTAATTTTCTTTCAATTGAAAATAAATGTAAACGAGAATCAAGTGTTTTTTCAATTAAAAATTCTATAAAATTTAAATTTAAAATAATATTTTTGTATTTTTAACCTTCAAATATTCCATATTCTTTTGATTCTAATAAAATTTTGTGTTCATAATTATCAATATTTAAATATAAACTTTCAAAACAAAAATAATTGACAAAATTCGCCCTCCCTCCCCTTTATTCCCCTCTCTCCCTCCCTCCCCTTTATCCCCTCCCATTCCCTTTATCCCCCCATCTCCCCCACCTTCCCTTTATCCCCCCCCTCTCCTTCCCTCCCTCCCTTTCAATAGGTAATTCTTCTAATTGTAAATATTTAATTTGGTTATCAGTTCCCTTCCCTTCCCCTCCCATCCTTCCCTTTCAATTCACCCCCCCCCCCCCTTCTCCCTCCTTTTTATCCCCATCCCCTCCCCTTTATTCCCCCTCTCCCTCTCCCCTTTATTCCCTCACATCCCCCCTCCCCTTCCCCCATTTACCTTCCAATTTTTAAAAATAATTCTTTATTTAATTTATTTTCTGGTAATTTAAATAAAATCCAAATTTTATTTAATTTTGCTATTCTAGGACGTCCATTGGCTATTAAAGAAGGTGTTTGTATTGGAATTTTAATTGAATTAGAAGTTTGCGAAGAAGGAACTTTTAAAAAAATATTTAAAATTAATTTAAAATTATTTTTTCTTACTTTCAAGTAAATATTTATTTTTAAATTGCTCTGTTGTTTTATTTATCAAACAATTTCCACCAATTTCTTTGTCCGAAGGAGAAAAGATTTTAGAACATTGACAAACAGGTAGATCAGAATGACGAGAACAAGGCGCTCTGAAAATTAAATTTCTAAAAATTAATTTATAATTTAAAAATAAGGGAAAAAGGGACTTAGTAATTGTTAATTAATTAAGTACTCAAAGTAAAAGGTAAAATTTAAAAATTATTATAGTTCAAAATTATACAATCCAGTTTCTCAATTATTTCCTAGTTAGCTGATCTCGGTCGGTAATTGTTCGGTTCGTACCCCCTACCTCTCTTTTTTCTGACCATTTTTTCATATGTATTTTCTTCCCTTTCTCTCTCTTATAAGCGTAAGTTCCGTCATCAAACAGGTAGCAACACTTATACATACCGAACATATTTTCCTGAATTTCTGTGACGAAAACGATTTGGTGATAAAGAGGGGGAGAGAGGGGGGGGGGGGTAGTACGAACCGAACAACTGCCCCTCGGTCTTGGAACAAACAAGAAATTATACAAAAAATTTTAATTATTTACCCTTCACATTCAATTGGACAATTTCCACAATTACCCAATTTAATAGAAAAAATATTATTTAAATTCTCTTTATTAATAGCTGCTCTTTCTTTTTGTTCATTAATTAATTGAGGAATATTTAATTTATTTCCATTAATTAAAATTTCAGCAATACAGCCCTCCAAAGAAGGAGCTTTTTCTTTTGTATTGTCTTGAAAATCTTTTTTAAATCGTTCTGATACAATTTTATTTAATAAAATATTTTTTGCATAAAAAGTGCCGCCAACAAAGAGAAACTTTAAAAAAAGAAATTAATTTTTATTTTAATTTCCAAACATTTTTTGCAGTAATTCTATATAATTCTGAAGAATCTACAACTGCCGAATTTGGAGATAATAAACAGACTAAATCATTAACTGACATAAAATTATTGCCTAATTGATGAAAAAGTGAAATTCTTGTCCACTGATCGTGAGAACCAAAAGCTTTAAAAATAAGAAAGAAATTTCTTAAAAATTTCTGGTCCGAATTTGATATATCCGAATTGATTCATTTCACCCAAGGGTATCTCATTAACTTTAATTTTTCAGGTAAAACGCTGAAACTAGACAAACGAGGTGTGGATTAAACTTTTAACTGAATATTAATTTAATTATTAACATTGATGGTCAAAGGAAATACATAAGTATTATCAACTCAAATAAAAATATTTTTTTAATCTCCTCTTTCTACCTTTATTTAATTTAACAAGACAAGAAGAACATTTTTCACTTCCATCAGCCAAAAGTAAACATTGTGAACCAAAAACTTTATTATCAATAAAATGTACTTGAATTCTTCCAAGACTTCCCCCTCCATTTAATAAAACTTTTTGTTGCCCATTTGTTGTTGGAATTGGTGGAGAAAATACTCCAAATAAAATTAAACCTGATTCCTTTAAAAAAATTTTTGAGAAAAGTTTTCTTTTAATAAAAAAAACCTTTTCACTTTTAAAAAGGACAGAAATTGTTGTTTTAAAACCAAAATTGTTATTTTGCATTGGAATAAGTAAAAAAGAAAGGCGATCAGAATAACGAGATAAATGGACGGAAGCTGAAATTATGTTTAGTTTTTTAATTGATTTAAAGGGAATAGCTAAGGAATAGAGGGAAGTATTAAGGGAAATCCGTAGAATAAAGATAGCGTATATAATTCAATTAAAGGTATTGGAGACCGAAATTTTGTAGGAAAAGGGTCAGGGATTACAATCATTTAGACGAGAAGTTGAAAGAAAGAGAATTACAATTTTCATCATCTGGCAACAAAGAACATTTGGCAATTTGAGAATTACTAAGAGAAAACCCCCCATTTTGAATTAAAGCAGAATTAGGTCCCTTGCAATTACAAAAGTTTTGTTCTAGGTTGGAAGGCGCACAAGCTGCTGGTTGAGAGAATATATGTTGTTGGGGAAGGGATTGACGAACTTCGAGTAAATCGTTATTTGTCTAAATTTAAAAATTAAATTTTAAAAAATAGGAATTTTAATACGTAGGAATTAAGGGAAATTGTGATAAATGGAAGAAATAATGAAATTGGAGAAGAAATAAAAAATGTTTATTTTGTTAATAATTAATTAAATATTCACCAAATCATTACAAATCCATTGCTCTTCTCCTCCATCATCTCCATTATTATCCAAAATCCGAAGGGCGGCAACTTCTCCATGAACAAGAATATCAACCCATTTAGGTTCCCCAAAATCAGAGGTTTCCCGTAATGAAAGAGATGTCCCCAAATTGTCAATCCGAACAGATAAGGAATGCTTCAAATATTTTTAATTTTTAAAAATATTTTTAGAAAGAAGAATTACCAAATGTAAATGTATTGTGTGCCAAAGACCGTCTGCAAGTAATTTTGATGGATGGATAATATGATTTGAGAAAAGAAGATAGCCTTGATAAGAAAATTGAAAGTAATGAGGGGGGAAGAGAAAAAATTAAAAGGATGATAATCTAAATAAATTAAAATATCCCAACCATCAACAAGATCAAGCGCCCCTAAAGGTCCATTACCACCATCAAGTAATTCAAGTAAACGTCCATTTGGTTTACTTGTTCTAAAAGAAATACTTAAAGTACTGGCTGTTGATTTTTTCCTCAAATTAAATAATTTTAATCTAATTCTGTCTTTATCTGAACGAAGTTCAAATTGACATTCTGGACGAGGAATTAACTTTAAAAAATATAAAAATAAATAAATTTATTTATTTAAGAACCATTTGTCGACAAATTAAAGGTCCAAGATTTATAGCTGATTTTGAAGGAAATGGAGAATTAATTTTAATAACAGGTCCAGAACGAATAGAAAAAGTATTCACTTCTTTAATTAAAAAAAAAATAAATTTAACAAATATGTATAAAATTTTGCGTAAAAACAAAAAAAATTTTTTTTCATAAAAAATCTTAGTTTATAAAGAAAATAATTCAATAATATTTTATTTTTCTGGAAAACACAAAAATAAATTTGTTAAATCAGAATTTTAATTTTCGGAGTTTATTGTTGAAATTAATTAAAATTTTAGATAAAAAATCAAATGTATTGTCAAGAGTAGAGTAACTTACTCTGTGTTCTCTAACTTTAAAACTTAATAGTAGGTATTTTAATCAAAATTAAAATTTAATGTACATATTAATAGTTGCAAGTTTGTGTGGGTTTTTTTTGCAAAGGATTAATTAATTTTAATTTAAAATTACCATTAATATTTGTAGCATTATTTCGATTAAATTTAAGCTTTTCTTTGCTAAATGTTTCGAGAATAATACTTAAATAAATTTAAAAAATATTTTTATATAAATTTTTTAAATACCTTCCTGTCTCATTTAATAAATTACTTTCTTCTTTTCCTTCCTCTAACCATTTAATATTAATTAATTGTAAACATTCATCAGAATTAACAATTAATTTTGAAAGAAAATTATAATTTGTAATTCTAAATAAAAATATAAATAATTATCCTTAATTCTAAAAAATAAATCCAAACTGTTGTTGAACATAAATTGGTTGATTATTAGTTTCTTTCTTAATTTCATCAAAATTTAGCCACCGACCAGTCAATGCATTGTTAATTATTGTTTGATAAGATAAACGTCCGGATTGGGGACCCGGAGGAGGAAAACGGCATTCTAACCAATAAATTTGGTTTGAAGGACTGAAAGTGTGTGGGGGGAATAAATTATTAAAATATTATAGTGCCGGCTTTACATACTTAAACCAAATAAATATACTTCAGTTCAGACTTGGTAATGGAAATGGATTTTGGTATCCGTATATTTACGGCGGATACAGACGGATATCCGCAGGCATTTTAAGATTATAAGTATCCGTATCCATTACCAAGTCTGCTTCAACTTAATATACCTTTTGATTTTGCCTACAGTTTATTAAACATAAAAGGATGTAGTATGTGTAAATGTATGTAAAATTTCATTAAAATTTTAATTTGAGAATAGTAAATATTTTTAGCCAATTTTTTAATAAAAATTTTTTTCAAAATACCTAACCTCAATAATGGAAATATTTTATTTTCAGAATTTCCATTGAGCAAATGTTCACGGCATGAAGGCCTAGGCTGTGTTGTTGTTAAAAGATTATTAGAAGAAGGGGACAATGAAAAAGAGGAAACACAACACAAAATAGATAAAAATGTTAATAAATTGTAAAATTTAAATAAAATTAAAAAATTGGAATTTTTGATGGCAAAATAATTATTTGAGGTAATTTTTGGAGAATTAAAATTGGAAAATTGTTTTTTGTTGGAAGCAAATACTTTTGTTGTTTTTGTAAAAGAATCTGATTTGGATGAAGATGAGGAGGAACAACAACAAAAGGAATCTGACAGCAATGGCTGCCTCATTATTTTAATTTTAAATTTTATCTGGAATAAATTAAAAATAAATTTTTTTTGTTCAAAATTATTATTGCAATCTTTGTCGATGACGAAATTGAGGATTTAAAGATTTTAAATATTTTTGATATTTTTTATATAATTTGAGGAATTTTGTTTATTATTTTTGGAGGTGACTCAGTGAGTCACTTTTCCTTTTTTGACAATTTTTTATGTACTTTTTTGCAATGTACTTTACATTGCATCATTTTTATTATAGAAATTTTTGCCTATATAAAGTAGGCAGAAATTTCACTTTTCAATGTCTTTTTGAAATATTCATTTTTTATAATATTCTGTGTGAATATTTTTTGATTGAAGATAAAGATTTTTTTGTATTTGTGTTAAATTTATTTGTTTATTTATCTAGATTAATTATTCTGTTGAATAATTAATCTGAGATATTTTCCCTATAAATTAAATAGGAAGGTAAAAAGAAAATCCTCTCTGAGGATAAATATTTTTTACATTTGGTGCCACGAACCCTTACGAAGGAGGGAGTGAGATTTAAAAATAAAAGAATAATAAAGAGCTATAGGCTCAGATTATTGGAAGAGCTATATTTTGGAAAGCTCGTTAAAAATTTTTTAATTGAAAATTAAAATAAATAATTAAATTTATAGTGTTTTAAAAATGTCGGGGACTATACGGCAAGCCATGACGCCGGCTATAACTCGTTTACGCGAACATTTTGAGGAGATTCGCCCGGTTTTAGACGCCCAAGAGCGCACAGCTGAAGGAATAGAAATGTTAAGGACAAGATTAGTTAAAGTTCGACGTATAGTAAATCGTCTTGAAGAAAAAGCCAATCAGTGGCAAGATTATATTCGAGGACTTCCAGCTAATGAAAGACAAGCGGAAGAACAGGTTTTAGCTAACTTTGCTCCATTGGAGCATCATTATGCGGAATGGATAGAGAACGCGCATGAACTAATTGCAGATATTGAGATTGTTTTGGCTGAGTCTGAGGACGGCAGCACTCAATCCGATTTGTCAGTAGAGTTGGGAGTTGGCCAAAATAGACTGAATCAATCAAGAAGGCCACAAGTTTTTGTAAATGAAGGGCAGACGCCGTTAAATGAGAATTATGTTCGTAGGAATGAGTATAATATTCCTACACATTTGCCTAGAACTAGATTAGCTGAGTTCTATGGAGATCCTCTTGTTTGGCCAGAATTTTGGCAATCATTTAGTAGGACTGTTGACAGTTTAGAAATTGATCCAGGCCTTAAAGCACATTATTTAATACAGTGCTTGAGAGGAAAGGCCAAGAGAGCGGTTTTGGGTTATCGACCGATAGCCGAACATTATGAACCGCTGAAAGACGCATTAAAAAGGCAGTTCGGCAATGAAAGAGCTATAAGAGATACGCTTCATGCCGAATTGATAAGCCTTCCTGTGGCAAATGAGTCTGTTTATTCCCTTCGTTCATACGTTGAGGAAGTTGAAAGAATTTGTAGATCCCTCACAGCGATGGGAAAAGTCGAAGATGAATCTATAGTTATGATGGCAATTAAGAATAAATTGCCAAAAAATATTATTTTAGAATTATTAAAAAAGGAAAAGGAGACAAAAGCGATTTGGAATGTAGATGAATTAAGAAAAGGTTTAGAAGAAATAGTAACGCTTAGAGAAGAAGTACAAAGGTGTGCTCAAACATTTTCTAAGAGCGTTAATTATGGTCAACAAAGGTTTGGAAATAATTGGAATAATAATAGAGGATTTAATCAAAAGCAAGTTAATTTTAGAAAGGAAAATTTTGATCGTGTATTTGCAGTACAATCAGGTGATGATAAGGCCAAAAATAACAAGAAGTTTGAGATCTTTTGCTATTTTTGTCATGGAAATCATCACGCTGAAAAATGCGAAATAATAAAAGCAATATATTTGAGGACAAAAATTTTGTCAGAGCAAAATCGTTGCCTACTCTGTTTAAGAAAGGGCCATAAAGTGGAAAATTGTGAGTCCAGAATTAATTGTAATATTTGTAGAGAACGGCATAATAAATTAATATGTCCGAAATTGTATAAAAATGGAGAAAATAAAAAAGATTTTAGAAAAGTTGAGCAAGTAAATCAAATAGAAATTTCTAAAAATTTACTTACTATTGTAGAAGAACCAAAAGAGTTTGAAAAAGAAAAGAAAGGACAGATTAAGGAAGATGAAAGTGTTAATCAAATAAATAAAAATATACTTAATAATGAAGATAATGGCGAAGGAAATGTTGTTTTAATGAAAGCAGACTTAATGTTGAAGGAAAGAAATAATAAAATAAATGTAAAATGCTTCTTTGATTCAGGAGCAACGGTTAATTTCTTATGTAATGAAATAGTTGAGAAATTAAAATTGAAAAAATTAAAAAGGACAGAATTAGGCGTTGTGCCATTTTTCAGAAAAGAGCCAATAAAGCTAAAAACTTCGTGTTATTCTTTAAAGGTTCTTCTTGATAATGGAAATTTTGAAGAAATAATTGTTTATAGTATTAAGAAGAACTTGATGCCAAGATTTAAATGCGCAGATTTAAGAACAAATGAAATAGTCTGCGCAAATATAGTCCCTGATATGCTTATAGGGATGAAGCATTTTTGGAGGTTCTTTAAAAGAATAGAGCCTTTATCCGATTATTTATTCAAAGTTGAAACAACTGTCGGACCAATAATTTGTGGTGAAATTAGCGGTGAAAAATTTAAAAGATTAAATAAGAAAGAAAATTTGTGTACAATATTAAGTTCAAATACTTTAGAAAACGAGGAACTTAACAATTATTGGTCATTAGAGACAATAGGAGTCAAAGATGATCCTGTATGTAAAGATGATAAAGTGGCTTTAGACTTATTTAATAGTACAATTAAAAGAAATGAAAAAGGAAGTTACATAGTAAAATGGCCATGGAAAATTGAAAAAGACAGTTTGTCATCTAATTTTTCATTGGCATATAAAAGATTTCTAAATCTCATGGATAAATTAAAAAAGAATCCGGATTTATTAGATAAATATGAAGAAATAATTAATAATGATTTAGAAAGAGGTGTGATTGAAGAGGCTGAAAGGAAGAAAGGTGAAATAGAACATTTTCTGCCTCACCACCCAGTTATTAATACAAAAAAGGTGCGAATAGTTTATGATGCCTCGGCAAAACTTCGAGAAGGAAAAAGCTTAAATGAATGCTTATACCGAGGGCCAATAATTATGCCAGATTTAGCAGGATTGTTAATTCGATTCAGAGTGCCAAAAATTGCCATGTGGGCAGATATTGAGAAGGCATTCCATACATTAGAATTGGAAGACGAAGATAGAGAAGTAACCAAGTTTATATGGGTTAAAAATACTAGAAAACCCATATCAACTCAAAATATTCGGTATTTAAGATTTGTAAAAGTTCCCTTTGGGGTTATTTCTAGTCCATTTTTGCTATCAGCGACTGTCAGACATCACTTAGAGAAATGTGATGACCCAGTTGCAAAGATTGCTAAAGAAAATTCCTATGTGGATAACATATTTATTGGAGTAGAAACGGCCAATGAAGCTTGGCTCGCATACAAAAGATTAAAAGAGATATTTAAAGATGCACAAATGAATTTGAGAGAATTCATTAGTAATAATATGGAGCTTAATGAAAGTTTCCCACTCGAAGATAGGCTAGAAAAGAATAAGCCTAAAATTTTGGGAATACCATGGGACACATCTAAAGATAAGATAAATATTGTTTTTCCAAAAGTGGAATTAAATGAAAAAATAACTAAAAGGATAGTTCTTAGTGAACTAGCAAGTATGTTTGATCCTTTAGGACTTGCATCTCCTAGTCTTTTATCAGCAAAATTGTTCTTTCAGTCTTTGTGGACTAAAGAGAATAAATGGGATGATAAGATTAGTGTCGAAAATGCAATGAAATGGAAAGAAATCACCAATTCATGGATAGTAGATCCCATCGAAATTCATAGAAGAGTTACTGATATTAAAAGCGAAAAACAATTACATGCATTTTCTGATGCATCAAAATGTGCTTATGCTGCTTGCATATATATTAAATCGGAATTTGAAGGAAAAATTCATACACAAATATTATATGCGCGAAATCGTTTAAAACCTAGAAAAGCAGAGGTTACAATACCACGCATGGAACTTTTAGGCGTGGTTATTGCTAAAAGAGCTTTAGAATTTGTAGAAAAACAAATCGGAGTTGAAATAAAAGACAAATTTTTTTGGTGTGATTCAAAGCCAGTATTAAGCTGGATAAAGGCCGGAGGTAAAAATGAAAAATTTGTAGAAAATAGAATAAAAGATATAAGAAAAAATGGAATAAAATTTGGTTATGTTAATACTATTGATAATCCAGCAGATATAGCCACTCGCGGCATAATGGCATCTGAATTAGAAAAATGCCGTATCTGGTGGGAAGGCCCTGATTGGTTAAAGAGACCTGAAAATAATTGGCCACATGAATTAAATTTTGAAATTGAAAATGAAAACGAGTGTGAAGAGGATAATCAGGAATTAATATTAAATTGTTTAAATAAAAATATAGATGAAGAAGAAAATCTAATAAATTTTAATAATTGGAATTCATGGAATAAATTAATTAAATGCTTTATGTTTGTAAGTATAGCAGTTCGTATCTGGATAGAAAAGAGCAGAAAAATTATAAAAGGAAAATTTCTTAGCGAAATAAATTTAGAAAATCGTATGTCAGCAAGTAATTTCAAAAAAGTTGAAATTTTTATTTTAAGAATTGCGCAAAGTTCTTACAAAAAAGAAAAGAACGAAAATTTACAGAAAATAATTGATGAAAATGGATTAATAAGATTAAAAACAAGGATTAGTAATTGTGAAGCAGAAGATTATTTTAAACATCCGATTTTACTGCCTAAAGGGTGTTTTGCCATTAAACTTTTATTGAGAAAAATACATGAAGAATTGAGTCACTCGGGAGTTGACTCAACAGTTGCAAACTTTTTAATGAAATTTTGGACGCCATGTGCAAGGCG